TGGTGTATAATGATGTGATTGTGATGCTGTATTTCTGAGTGTTTTATGTGCTGCAGAACAGGAACCTGCTGTAAAACAGCAATAATGCTGAGTCAGGCTTGATTTTTAATAATCTTTTCCTGTTAAATAAATAAATCAAATCAAATCAAATCAAAAAACCTTATCAATAATTATTGATATCGTCTGATATGAAACACTTATATCATAATACATTTCTTAGCCATATCGCCCAGCACCTGTTCTCATCATGCATAGCGAAACATGGCGGCAGCAGCAGCATATTGTGAGGATGATTTTTTTCAGCAGAGATTGGGAAACTGGTCCGAGTTGAAGGAAAGAAGACTGGAGTAAAATACAGAGACGGTGTTGAGATGAACTTGTTTAATCTTTTAGAGATTCGAGCCTGGGACTGAGGTTCACCTTCTAGCAGAACAATGACCCTAAACACTCTGCTGAAGCAACACTCAAGAGATTTAAAGGACAAACTGTAAAATAACCTGTAATGTTCCAATCAAAGCACAGACATCAAACACAAGAGTTGCATTTAATGTGACCACTGAGCAAGAGATGTGAACACTACTGACAATTTGCTAAAAATTACATAATAAATCTACTTTTTCACTTCACGTAGATTTGTGTTTCTAAAAATGTCATTAGAAATCCTGTTCTATGTGGGAGCTTTGAAACAATCTCTTTGATTGTGGATAGCCTCCACCAGACAACAAAACAAGTGTTTATATGAAAGAGATGCTGATCAGAGGCGAGGTTAAAGATGGACAGCTACACATGAAAAGCAAATGAAAAGCACTGAGAGATCACACGTTTCACGTCTGTCATGTTTTATCAGACAGGATGTTTTTGTGTGTGTGGATGTTAAACACAGTTGTCAGTGTCATCTCGTCCTTTGATATAAATATAAAAGTTTTTTCCCAGAAGGGAAATCTAACACCTCAGTGCAAACAGAACAGGTCTTACAACTGTTGAAATGTAACAAATCTGACAGAGGCGTCATTCAAACGACCGGCAGAAAGCTTTGTGGGCTTCTGGTTTACCACCAAACACAGATGTGGGACCAGAGTCCTGTTCTGTCACTAGACATTGGCTAAGACATTGCCGGCTAAACCTTTGGGAACCCCCTGGACTTTCGGAGGTGGGGGGCTGTTCTGTCGATCAATCTCATTATGATGCACACAGATGATCAATCAGATTGGGAATAGAGGAGACAGAATCAATTCCTGAGATTCATTGGTGTGTTCTGTGAGCAGGTTTTGCTTTGTGTGTTTGTGGATGTGCATTCTTGGGGATATTCTTGTTGGGGGGTTTCTTTAGTCTCAAACATAATTAGATACACGCTAAAGTAAAAAGAATAAACAAGTCTCAGTAGATGATCCCAATAAACCTTCACCTCTCTGTAGTTGAAAGTAGTCAGTACACATGAGAATGTACACTCAGATACTGAATCTGAGCCAAGGTTTCATGTGACAGGTCTTATTGATGTGACCGAGGATGGATGGGGGGGTGGGATGTGGGGTCACTGCTGGTGTGTTATTGACTTTTCAAGCTGCCAAATGGGAATATTTCAGGACCCTGTTAGGCTGAGTTTGGTCCTATTTTCTCCCAAGGCCCCGGGAGGTTGTATCAAACATTTATTAAACACCGCTAGGATAGAAGAAGACATTAAAAATACAGCAGGGTCTCACCGGAGGTCTCTCAGATACAGACGAGGAGGAGGAGACGAGTGTAGATGGTGGGTGGTGTTGTTTAGGGGTGGAGGTTTGATCGACAGGACTGTGAGGGTTTTGTTTTTTTGTGTGTTTGCATATAGATGGGATATTTAAATCTGAATATGAAAGGATGTTAAAGAAACAACTCCTCTGGGTCTCCCAACTAGGGGCGGAGCCAGAGGTTGCCACCCTTGGAATCTAATTGGCCACCCCAGTTGATTGACAAGTCACCGCGTGTCACTTTGTCAATGTCAGTTTATGTATGTAGCATATTAAAGACAACAAAAGTTGATGAAACATTATTTACATTTCTGTCAAGGACTTGTGTCACATAGATTTTCTACATAAGACTAACTCAGACAGATATTGGTAATTTCAGTTTTTTTTTAATGTTTCTCTCCTGGTTTTAAGGACTGGGTTGAAGAACACTTTCATACAAACTTTGACAGGGAAACATGTGAGTTTATTTTAATAAATCATGAGTCATGCAAAATATCTGAAATGACAAATATTTCTATTAGAGTTGTAATCCTGTTATAATTTATGACAGCTCTTTACAACTCCGTCAGCCTGTGAATGAGTTATTTTAAAATAAAACTAGACTAAAAAATCAGTGAGGAAAAACATTTTACATTTGCGCTGCTAACAAGAGTAGCTAGGAAAAAAAGGAAACACAATACTTACCAGTCTGTACAAGGTATGTACCAGGCAAGTACCAAAAACCTGTAAGTACCCAGTAGGATGAGAAGAAAGTACTCTGTGGGTACAGGGTAACAAGTCACTTCATAATCGACCTCTG